GGGTAAGTTTAGCTAATTAATGTTGAGTACAATATTGAATGTTATTTAACTACAAAGTTCAATTGAAGTCTTAGCTAAATACAGAATAGTTCCACAGTGTTTTATCAGTGTAGAAAAATGTAATGTTCATGAGTGATATCAATAGGAATTAGCATGATTATTCGATTGAGTGATAATTAAGAATTAAAATGTCAGTATAGCGCCGTGCCTTATTTTCCAAGAATTGAACTGCTACTGCTGTTGGCAAACAGCGAGAGTCTTTATATAACTATGGATAGGCTCCGGATAGCTTGGCGCCAAAATATAGAAAAGATACTAAAATACGCGATTGGTCAGGAAATGGACCAATCCGTGATTTTAGAGAAAATTTTGAATTACTTGCGATGGTTAAATTGTCCTATAATAAGTATCATGTATTTATTAACCAATGACATTAAAGAAAACGGAGGTGTGGCACATGTAAGTGATTCCCACAAGTAACCCTCATTTCAATTTTCAAACTTTTCCTTCAATTTCATTAGTTGTTAAATAAAAATAAGCCTCGAGTAATTTCTATAACAAAACAGTCAAAATTTATGCAAAAATAGGCTCAACTGACATAAAAAGAAAAAATCTTTCTCAAATTCATCCCTAATTTAAATGTTTCAAAAAATCCTATTGGCTAAAAAAATGAAAAAAATACAACATTCGCCCACGCATTTCTCAGAAAAATTCGCAACAATGTCATTATTAAGAGGAATGACCAAAGTATTTTTTGAGTATTTTTTAAAAAAATTTAATCATTTCTAGCACGCCCGAAACTTTAGCTAAAAATCTTGTTTATTTTGAGTCATCAAAATTGTCGTAAAATCAATCATGGAACCCATTAAACTAAAAATTAAATTTTCCGTTAAAAAATCATGTAAAATTCAATTATACTTTTTTCAAAAGTTATTTTAGGAAAATTAGAAAATTTAAAGTTTTCTTAATGTAATTTGAAAGAAACATTACTCACTTTTTTAGCAGAAAATTTTTTAAGAGAGAAATGTCCAAGAGGGGTAATTGATTTTTCGGGGGTGTTATGTCAACGTATCGACAACTTACGACAGGAGAATTTATGAGATGGTAGGACAGAAGTGGCAAAATTTGTCTTAAAAAGTGAACCGGGTTAGTAGAGTTAAATAAAAAAAAAATACACTTTCAAATTTTTTTTTTTAACCTTACGTTTGAGGAAGAATTCTGGAATAAAAATAACATTTAAACTACGAAAAAATACATTTAGAATTCAAATTTCTGGAATAAAAATAACATTTAAAATACGAAAATATATATTTAAAATTCAAATTTTATAACAGGCAAAAAGAGTAACCTACTTGTTACGTTCACCTATTATATTTTTTTTTTTTGTATTAATTTTTATGAAATGTTTTCCTAACTGAGACAATATAAAAATTAAATAAAATACCATTGCATTTCATAAATGAAACAGGTAACTTATTTATGAAATGAGATTTTTTTTCAGCATTGTGCATCCATATTTTTGTCGGAGACGATTATAATACATTTTTTGGCATAATAAAAAATCATTTTAAAAATAGAAGAATGTAACAGATTTTAATAACAAATTTTAATAAGCTTTTCTAATTTATGATCATTTCCAGAAGTTTACAGTTTCAAATTTAATTTTAAAACAGTTATCAATTTATCACTTTTTTTATTTATAACTGAAAAAAAAAGAAAACAATTTTTGTAAAAATTCATTTTTCAACTGAAAAAAATTTTGGCTTCAGACAAAAACATCCTTACTATATATTATTCATAAAAGCTTCTTCTTTTTTTAATTAAATAATGTGTTAGTTTTATTGAATTTTGTATTTTAAATTCAAAGATAAATTTTAGGTTGTTTCGATTATTAAAATTTTACAGGAAATTGATGATTTATATACCGCAGTCTTCCTCATTTAATTGAAAAATTATAGAATCACACTGTTACTAGTTTTAAAGTTTTCATAAAATTAAGTAAGGGGGTATCAGACATAAAAAAAATATTTTTTTACTCTGACTTTCTAAAAAAATAAACATTTCTAAAGTAAATTTATTTATTTTTTAATAGCTTCTGAAAGTGTCATTAAATTCCAACAATTATTTGATTTTTGCAAGAATTTCCACATTAATGTGTTTTCAGCTGAAAAAGGCGCTCTAAATGCTAAATATTAGGTGAACTCTGACATAAAAAAGAAACAAGATTTTCAACCAAAATTTAAAACGTACTGAAAAGGAAGAAAAAATTTTTAAAAATAATTTTAAAAACTTTGGTCTTTCCTCTTAATAACATAAACTTTTTCGCGATAAAACTTTGTTTTTATTAAGTTTGGGGCCTTTTTCATCAGGTTACGCCACTTTTTTAGTGAAAAAGTGGACATACCTATAACAAATTAATAAATAAATAGTGTTTAATATCTCTGTTGCCAATTCTCAAGAATAAAGAAAATATAGAAGTCTACTTTCATATGTTTGTGTTTTTTAAATTCTAATCATCGCTTTTTAAAACAAATATTACCAAGGGTATCAAAGTGTAAACAATAATGGCGATGCCAAGAGAATAACCTTCTTTTTTTTTTTTTGTTTTTTGTTTTTTTGGATTTTTGAGGAGGGGAGGTAGGTATTTTCGGGGGCACAGAAGTTAAACATTGACAAAAAGATTTTGTTCGGATTGAAGTGGCCTATCGAATGGAAGGGGGATAACTTCATCGAAATATTTTCGATAATGCTTGATACAGTTATTTCCCTTAAAAAATGTCTTTCGAAGTGTTTGAAAGTTATCTAGACGCGCCCGAACTTAACAGAGAGTAATTTATGAATTATTTTTATACTAAAAAGAAAAAGCTTTATTTTTAAAAAGCTAGAATCACCAAACAGATAGCTTCCATATCTAAGTCGAGTATCTGTGATATTTTAGACTGGATGATACATTCCTTAATCTTTAATTGACTTTTTTAAGGAATTTCTATCTTATCGGGTCCACCCCACTTAAAAAAAAAAAAAAGATTCTTCATAAATCCCTTTAAAAGAAAACTGTAGCGCTAATTTTCTTTGAGAATGCTAAACTAAAATTTTATATTTTCAAATTTCATGACTAATTTTTCCTCATTAAGATTTAATGTGTGCCTTTGACTTTCCAACAAGGCCGCCCTGAAGTTAAAAAATTAAAAGGGGGCGAGAAAAACTAGTCTAAAAAGAATGCAAATCTAAAAAAAATATCTCCAAAATATTTTTCCTTACTATTTAGGAGTGGACCGGTCTAGTTAAGTAATTCTTTTGTTTTAACGTTGTTGTGTTGTGATTACGTCTTGCTTAATAATAGGTTGGTGAATTGCATAATAATTAACGTCTTTAATTATGTCCTCAAAATTTTAAGGCCGACGTCTAAGATAGCCATACGAATAATTGAAAGCTCTCGGAAGACGTGAAACTGACACTTACCATGTAGTGTTGATTTCTATGTCCACACTTTTTATACCGAGAAACGTTCAATCTTCGATACAGAACACTCAATAAATATACCGATATATATATATATATATATATATATATATATATATATATATATATTGTGGATTTACAACACTTACTTTGCTAAAAGAACCGCCGCTAGGGGATGCTCCCGAAGCCTATAAATGGGTAATAACATCCTCTGTCATCCTCTTTTTTCTTTTTCACTCAGGGATGATAAGATGTATGTCGAATAAGGAAAACGCTTTCACCATTGGGGATTGCACACACGCGTAGACGCACATGCGTACACACACGCACACCAGCACCTTTCTCTTCACTTTCTTACATGTAACACCTTTCTTGTCCACAACTTCAAACACTCAAAAAATTCACTAGTTTAAATGTATTCTTTCATATTCATTGTTTTGGAACACGCAACAATATTCTATTGTCTATGTATACCTTAGTTTTGTTAATACATACTTATCGTTGTTATATATATATATATATAAAGACATTTTTATGTTTATACATTCTTTTTATAGATACAAATATTTAAGTAAATGCTCTGTTTATAATAAACAGTATTAAACAACATTTACCGGCCTGAATGTCCGAGAAATTTTCATAGAAATTATTCGTCCTCCGACAGGATTCGAACCTGTATCCTATACGGAACCGTCATTTAGCTTGACGTGCCTTTACCGATTTGGCCACAGAGGCGCTTTCGGTTAGCAAGGTCCAATTTACTGTATTTAAACTTCAACCTTCCATGAATCTCTCACGTACATTCATATCTGCTCATGGCGTATCAAATGTAAACAAATGACGTCACACATTATGAAATGGACAAAGTCCGACTATTATTTTAAGACATTTTTATTTTTATACATTCTTTTTATAGATAAAAATATTTAAGTAAATGCTCGTAAAGCTAAATGTAAAAGTAAAGGCACATCAAGCTAAATGTTGCTTGGAAATCTTCTATGTATACAAAAACAGACTATCATTATTGTTTTGTCCTTGTATTGTTTAATATATTGTAATGTAATTGTCATCTTTGATAATTTTTTATTTTTATTTTTTTTACATACACAGACGGGTTCCATTATTGTGCGTTTGGTTGGACACGGTGGTTTAGTCCAGTCGTTGGCCTTCTCCCCTCAAGGAGTCTCGATTGTAAGTACCTCCCATGTACATTTTGTTGTGTAGGGGACCTACAACTTTGTAGATGAATTGATTCATTAATTTATTTGTAATTTTTATGGCTTATCAACCCTTTGAAAGTTATTTAATACCAAGAAATAACTTTTTGGAATTTTTAAGAATTTAGGGGGAGATAATAATGATTTACTGATATGTCCTATTTAATCCATAGCTGGGGTAGAAATGGTGGATTCATTCCTTTACCAAAAGTATTTGCGCCTAAGTGAATATAGCGAATCCAACTGGAATTGGAACTCGGCTCTCCGATTAACAATTCCGAGTCATTATCCATTACTCCATCCGCAGCAAATCCAAGCTTAAAGCACCTGGCATTCCCAAGCGGTTGCCCATCTAAGTACTGACCAGGCTTGACGTTTCTTAACTTCGGTGATCGTACGAGAACGGGTGTTTGCTCGTGATACGGCCGTAATCCGTCGTTGATTAAAGAGACGCAATAAATGTGTTAAATGAAATTTGCGATATCTGTCTATACCTCTGAGATGAGGTATCATGATTATTTACATTATTTGCATTATTCGGACTGTTATGCTCATCTTCATTGCCATATTCACAACGTTTCGGTCGTTGTACACTCCGGTCTTCTGCAATATAAGTTCTGGTAAAAAAAATATGTAATAATAATAACGGAAAAATTGCAATATGAGCAATAGTAAAAACAAGAGGCTAAGACATTAGGTTTATAAATCCCAGAAATTCACACACAGACATCCTGAAGAACACATGGCTCAGTGGATAAAGACGTTGGTTAAATCCAGGGACTAAGACCCAGGCTACAACAGTGGTGACCCAAAAACATTGGAGAGTTAAGTTAAAGGGAAATAACTGAGACATCCGGGAGAGGCATGGCACGTGGAACTAGAACAATCTGACCCGGTGGACGAAATAAGGGGTTCGGTTCGAAATTCCAATCCCCTGAAAAAGTTCCGGGTGTACAACGCTTTCTATGATTCACATGAACTCGGTGCAATAACTCCCCAGTTGCCGTCAATTTTAACACATTCACTCTTTATGCTTGCAATCAAGTTTGTTACATCTGTGTTTTTCATTAAGTACACCTTCTCCTTTAGCATACCCCCAGAAAAAGAAGTCAATTCTTTCTTTTTTCGAGAAAATCATGCTTAATCTGTACAGGGAAAAAAAACTAGCTAATGAGATTGCCTATGTGTTCAGACTTTAGGGACACCATATATATATATATATATATATATATATATATATATATATATATATATATACAGAGAGAGAGAGTGGTGGGGAACAAATGTTCGTAGACATACAAATACTTTTTCACCCATTAAAATGGATAAATGGGATTTATTTGTATTAAATCATTTTCCCTGTTTTCTATGCATATTTAGTTATTATGCATCTGTGTACAGTTAATTATATGAAAAGTATGGTTATTCATTAGTTGGAAATACAATAAATTAAAAATTTCTGTCTGTATGAATATTTGTTTCCCGCCACTGTGTATGCTGATACTCCTGACAAATGGACGGACTGTTCGTTTACTTACTTGCTGTCTCTCTCTCTATCTCTCTGTCTCTCTCTCTCTCTCTGTCTTTCTCTCTCTCTCTCTCTCTCTATATATATATATATATATATATATATATATATATATATAGATAGATAGATAGATAGATACACCTAGTGAGCCAGACAAACCTACCTAGGTTTCACCTAAACGGATCGTCAGGGAAAGTCAAGCTAACAAGGCAAAGAGAAACATATTTATAGGCGATAGCCCAAATCATACCACGTGATCAAAAAACCACAAACACAAACCTGGGGGGGGGGAATATTTATTCAACGAAAATGGGTTTTTCGAAACGAGTTTAGTTATCTATATATATATATATATATATATATATATATATATTATATATATCCGGACAAACCTTGTATATTATATATCTTATTTTATTTATTTGCAGGCGACGGGATCTTGGGATTTCCTTGTGCGCGTCTGAGTCTGGACGATTACTGCCAAACGGAAGTTGATCAGCAAATGTCGAATGGAGATCAAGAATGTTGCAAAAAAGATGGCGATTGCCGTAAGGCGTTGTCCCAACAAATGAATCCCCCGAAACCATCTTATCTCCTCAAGAAGCACACCGGGAACGTTCACGCCGTGTCTTTCTCCAACAATGATCTTTTAGTAAGTAAGAGCAGATCAAATTAATTCCACCCAAGTTGTAGGGAACCGCTAAAGTATGAATTCACAAAAGCGATAATTGTTTGCTCCCCCAAGCTCCATCGTGAAGTGACAAATTCTTGCACGTTTATAAATCTACTATTCATCTGTGTATTGAATGCCGCTGCCATATCTTGTCTGGTGCTCCTGAAATACATCCAGAGATTCTCCACAAAATTCAAAGGAGGATCTCTAATATAATCAATCCTGAGCAGGCATCTCGACTTCAGTCACTTTCTCAACGACTTGATGTGGCTTCCTTTTGTCTTTTCTGCAAATATTTTCATGGTAACTGCTCTGACGAGCATCTAGTTGAAATAGCTAAATGCAACCGCCACTCCTACTCCAACAGTTTCTATTCTCCCACTTTCCACCTGTGGAAATCTCTTCTGTCCACTTGCTGGCCTGGTATCGTTGTAATCTTCAAAACTTTAAAGGCAACTTCAATCGCCATCTTCTGTCTTCTTGAATCCCGTTCATCTTTTATCCTTTACCTCAATCCTCCTTATTCTCTCTTTCACTTTCACTTTCACTTTCACTCTCTATAAGCCCCTGTATCTGGTACTCCGGCTATATATTTCGAGATCTTCGATAAAATCCAAAGAGGTGTCTGCAATGTTCGTGAAGAAACTAACTGTTTGTCAGGCGGGAAAAGGAGCAGCTTGTTATCTTTACTAACTTTTTATAGTTAAACTGGTCACGTGAAAGGGTTACCACGTGATCCCTAAAGTTGTACAAAAGGAGATGAAATCTCTCTCTCTCTCTCCATCTCTCTCTCTCTCTCTCTCTCTCTCTCTCTCTCTCTCTCTCCTTAAGAAAATTACCTTCCATGTTACCAAGTTATCAGACTGTTATACGTCGAGGAAAACGGTTTGGAGACAATAATTGTCTTCCCTTGGATTTGCGGCAAGGCTTAGGGCGTGTCCATTGCTTACGCGGGAATTCAGTCCCTTACTAACACTTGCTTTCAGAGGAGTTTTTGTTTTTGTTCGATGAACAGTTAAGATTTCGTTTTCCTGAAGCCATATATGTGGAAGATGGACATTATGTTCACTGTTGATTGAGCGGAAACGAGACCTTTGTCCCCAACTTCCGACGAGGCAAGTAAGAAAGTAAGACAATTTTGTGTCTAACTTTTATATACCTCAGTCAGATATGCTCGTTCTTGGATCAACCTGTACATTCATCCGGTTTAGGGACACATGTGACCTGTAAATTTTTTTGTATTTATTAAATGTTTTAATTGCGTACGGGTGTATCTCGTCTTTCATTTCCGCTTATTCAGTGTTAGTGTACCAATAGATACAGTAATAATGCTAGTATTAGTATCTGGTGAGTAGGAAACTATTAAATAGCTTCCCTAGCACCAGATTGACGGTAAATTATGACTAGTAAAGAAAACTATATTAATAAGTGGTACTAATAACGGCAATCTATTTCGTAACTCGAGGTAATTGCTATTGCTTTTTTTTCCTCGATCTGACCAGTCTCTGTTCGTTTTAGGGATCGGAGGCATTTTCTCGACATGTTTTCTGTCCTGGCATGTCATTTCGAATTCAGCCATTTTCCCATAGCCATCGCGTGGCTTCACTCTGCCTTTTCTATAAATATTTTCACGTCAATTCTTCCGATGAGCTTTCCTCATTGCATTTCTTTAAGTTTAATTCCCCATCCCCTCCCCTCGTTAGGTGGTCAGTGATGTCAGTTCGCTGGTGGATGCGGGGCGCCTTTCGTTTTCGTGTGAGTGATTTTTTTTTTCGTATTTGTTGTTGTGTCTGAATGAGTGCATGTCAGTGTGAGTGATTGGGATGAATGAATGGTTTATACTATTATAGTCCCGCATTGATTTCGGCCAGTGAAGTGATGTTTCTGTCACATTTAGTAATTGTGGGGGGTTTTATTACTAATCTTATTTTCTTTAGTTTCTTGTAAATAGTTTTTGTATGCATATTGTAAATACTCATTGAGGTTAATTTTTAGAATTGTTGTTTTATTCCCTCCCCCCCCCCCACAGACCACGAATTGTAAATATGGGGACTAGTTAGTATTTTCATAGAGACAAAGAGGTATTATGGTGGTTGTAGTAAGAAAGGTACGAATGAATGTGTTGTTTTGGTGTAAGGAATATTGTTTCGTAAGATTGGGTCAGTGTTTGCGGCTAGCTAAGTTATAGTTAAGACAGAAGAAGACCGTCCTTTCCCCAATCCCCTTTCGGCCTTTGTGCCACATTTCTGTATTGTACAGAATAAATATCGCTTTCCTCATTGCCACCTCGGCCGCATGAATTTAAGCGTACTACTGGATTGGCAATTAGATCTCATCATTTTACTGTTGAATTAACTAGACGTAACCGTTTAGACATATTCTCTCGCATTTCTTGCATTCTGTAGAACTCGCTTCCGGTTTCTTGCTTCTCTGGCAACTACGATCTACAAAAATTTAAATGTAACGTCAACGTCAAGTAAGCTTGAAACATTATTGAGCTGTGTACTATCACGTTCAATGAGACATGTGGTTCGCTGGAGAAACGCATGTCGCCAAAGGATCTTCAGGTGTTAGAAACGACACATTCTAACTCGAAAGTCTTATTTGGCTAAAAGTGAAGGAAGGAAAAAGAGGCTTTACGCCCTTTTCTTTATATACTGCTTTTGACAATGCTATCGAGTGGTCATTAACAGAAGTTCTTTGGCAGACAAGTGGGGTAATCATACTAAATTAGAGCACAATTAGTCCATATAATGAAAGAGATTAAAAAGTAAAAACCAAAATAAAACATTTATTTATACATTAAAGTTGACATAATATATACATATTATAATCTCTCTCTCTCTCTCTCTCTCTCTCTCTCTCATATATATATATATATATATATATATATATATATATATTTTTAAGACATTTCATGTTGATACATGCTTTTTATAGAAACAAATATTTAAGTAAATGCTCTGTTTATAGTAAATAGTATTAACAATATTTACCGGCCTGAATTTACCGGAGGACGAATATTTTCTGTGAAAATTTCTCGTATATTCAGGTCGGTAAATGTTAATACTGTTTATTATAAACAGAGTATTTACTTAAATATTTGTATCTATAAAAAAGAATGTATAAACATAAACTGTCTTAAAATATATATATATATATATATATATATATATATATATATATATATATATATATATATATGAAGGTGAATTTAAGCGTATTTATT